GAGACTGTATATCCCTGGCCAAGCTATGGGGCTATTTCTCCCCGGCCAAGCTGTAAATGATGAAGCCTTTTACAGGAGGTCCTGGTTTAAGTCCTGTAAGAAAGACTTCTCTGTGTGGACTGACCTAAAATGGCTCCTATTCCCTCCAAAACCCAAAAAGGGGGCGGAACTAGGGAACCTAATGATAATTGACAGGTCATTGACCCAATAACTGCAAAGTAAGAAAAGTCATCCGATGTGCGGGGCTGGATGAATGCAAAGCTGGGGTGAAAATTGGTGGAAGAAACATTAACAACCTCAGATATGCAGATGACACCACTCTGATGGCCGAAAGCGAGGAGGAGCTGAGGAGCCTTCTAATCAAGGTGAAAGAAGAAAGCGCAAAAGCTGGGTTGCAGCTAAACATAAAAAAAACCAAGATTATGGCAACAAGAATGATTGACAACTGGGAAATAGAGGGAGAAACGTGGAGGCCGTGACAGACTTTGTATTTCTAGGTGCAAAGATTACTGCAGATGCAGACTGTGGCCAGGAAATCAGAAGACGCTTCCTTCTGGGGAGGAGAGCAATGTCCAGTCTCGATAAAATAGTGAAGAGTAGAGACATCAGACTGGCAACAAAGATCCGCCTAGTCAAAGCCATGGTATTCCCTGTAGTAACCTACGGATGTGAGAGCTGGACCTTAGGGAAGGCTGAGCGAAGGAAGATCGATGCTTTTGAGCTGTGGTGTTGGAGGAAAGTGCTGAGAGTGCCTTGGACTGCGAGAAGATCCAACCAGTCCATCCTCCAGGAAATAAAGCCCGACTGGTCACTGGAGGGAAAGATACTAGAGACAAAGTTGAAGTACTTTGGCCACATCATGAGGAGACAGGAAAGCCTAGAGAAGACAATTATGCTGGGGAAAGTGGAAGGCAAAAGGAAGAGGGGCCGACCAAGGGCAAGATGGAGGATGGCATCCTTGAAGTGACTGGACTGACCTTGAGGGAGCTGGGGGTGGTAACGGCCGACAGGGAGCTCTGGCGTAGGCTGGTCCATGAGGTCACGAAGAGACGGAGACGACTGAACGAATGAACAACAACAACAAAGGAAAGCCATCTAACTGCAAATGCACAGAACTTTAAAAAACATGCATCATTCAACAAATGGCAAGATAAGCTGGAGCTCCTGGTACGGCCGTACCAGAACAGGCAGGCTCAAACCCAGAATTATTATTATTATTATTATTATTATTATTATTAAATTTTATTTGTACCCCGCTAGCATCTCCCGAAGGATTCGATGCGGCTTACACAGGCCGAGGCCTCAACACACAACATCACAATACAATCTAAGCAAATCAAACAATTAAAAACAGAATAAAGCAAGTGAACAACAGGCACAATACACTAAAACACAATAAAACTGGGCCGGGCCAGAATTAAAAGTGCTGATGTGACAGGAGGAGTATATAAGGCTTCTAGGGCAAGTGCAATGTGCGATGTGCGATGTGCAGCAATCATTGGTTCTGGTAAAGTGCTTATGGGACTTGGTAGTGGAGATTTCCTAATCTGGGAAGGCACATCGGAAAAGTCAGGTCTTCAAGTTCTTTCTGAAGGCAGCCAATGTAGGGACCTGTCTAAGGTCTTTGGGGAGGGTGTTCCAGAGTCGGGGGGCCACGACGGAAAAGGCCTTGTCTCGCGTCCCCACCAAGCGCGCTTGCGACGCAGGTGGAGTCACGAGCAGGGCCTCTCCAGATGACCGAAGTGAACGTGTGGGTTTGTAGATGGAAATGCGGTCACGCAGGTAGGCTGGTCCCAAACCGTTCTGGGCTTTGTAGGTAAGCACCTGCACCTTAAATTGGGCTCGGAATATAAACGGCAGCCAGTGGAGTTCCTTGAACAGGAGGGTTGACCTCTCTCTGTAAGGGGCCCCAGTTAGCATCCTGGCTGTTGATCGTTGGACCAGTTGGAACTTCCGAGCCGTCTTCAAGGGCAGCCCCACGTAGAGTGCATTGCAGTAGTCCAATCTCAATCAAATGAGAGACTCCCCCCTGGACACACAGAAAACTGGGCGACTTGGAAGGCGCTGAACAGACTGCGCTCTGGCTCCATGAGATGCAGAGCCAACCTTAAGAAATGGGGCCACAAAGTGGAATCCACAACATGCGAGTGTGGAGGAGAGCAAACTACAGACCACTTACTGCAATGCAACCTGAGCCCTGCCACATGCACAATGGAGGACCTTCTCAACCTGAGCCTTGCCACATGCACAATGGAGGACCTTCTTATAGTAACACCAGAGGCACTCCAAGTGGACAGCTACTGGTCAAAGGACATTTAATCAACTACCAAGCTTGCAAACTTTGTGTTTTGTTTGTTTGTTTAAAAATGCAATACAACTGTTTGGTTTGCTCCTGACACGATAAATAAATCTCACACCAGAAGCAACTTTTCATTGGAGGGTCACTTTGTTTTGCCCCCCCCCCCCCCCCCCGAGGTTCCAATGGAAGAAGTGATGAATATTTGAACAAAGGCTGGGCAGAGGAATCCTGGGCATTTCTGGTGAGATTTTTATAATGGCTTTGCAACGTCACAGGGGTGAAATGCTGCTAAAAGGAATGCAGTTGCACATAAGAAGGCCCAACACTTTGAGTCTTCTTACATAACAGCCAGGAGAGCACTCTCTTTTCCCTTAAGGAAGCGAAAAATATATGAAAAAAGCGATGCTCTGTGCTTTTTCTCCCCTTTGATATATTTGCAGCACTGACCAATCTATCAGCTCTGGAAGTGTGGGGTTTATGTAATAGGCAAGGAATAATGAGCTGGAGGACAAGGCAACGGATTCCTTTTGATTCCTTGACTCCTGTGCTATGCTAATAATATAATATAATATAACATAACATAATATATTGTATATACATATAATATTTATAATATTATAATGTAATACAATCAATATAAATAAAAATGTAATGTTCGTTCTTGGGGATTAACATAACTCAAAAACCACTGGACGATTTGCCACCAAATTTGGACACAAGGCACCTACTAACCCAAGGAGTGAGCATCACTCCAAAAATTGGATTTTTTCATTTGGGAGTTGTAGTTGTTGGGTGTGCAGAAGTCTTTGATACTATGTATGTGTTTAACTGTTAGAGTTTATATTTGTGTTTGTAACAGTAGCTAAAACTAGGGTTATCTGGTTTGAATCCACAGTGAGCGTTGCCAAGGAGACCAGGCTGGCTAGCTCAGGAGAGTGAGAAGTGGGCGGAGCCAAGCAGGAAAGGTTATGTGCGTCTTTGGAAAAGGGGCAGTGTGGAGGCTTGAAAAGCCTGGGAGAGAGGTGTGTGTGGGCAGCTGGAGGTTTTTCAGTCTAGGAGGGCTGAAGGGAGAAACCTGGCCAGTTTCTTTAGTCAAAGAAGACTAAAGGAAGCTTGTTAAGATCCCTAGTCAAGGAGGGACTAGAGATCAGAGATTTGATCAAAGAAAGATCAAATTGGAAGGCTATTCATATTAGGAAACATTGTTCACTAAAGAGCTTCACCTCAGTAAAAGTTAGCCACGAGCTGTGTCATCTGGAAGAGTGGACTGTATTACAAACCAAATGATATTCAAAGTTCTATAAGTTATTTAACAACCTGCAACCATACGCTTTGTACACAATAAACTTGTTATCTTTTGTTGAAACCATCTCATTTCAATTAATCTGCGTCTGTAGAGCCAGATCTCATCGGTGGTACCTCAAATACCTCACTGGTGGCAGTTACCTTAATTTACAAATAATAATTGGCCTCCTCTATAATATATTCTTATACGCAATTGAGGCCTGAGATTAATTCCCTCCATAATCATCCACACCTGTACAATTGGTTCTCGCATCCTGTACATTGGGATTTATAGTTCACCTACAATTAAAAAGCATTCTGAACTCCACCAATGATGGAATTGAACCAAACATGGCACACATGACTCCCCTGGCCAACAGAAAATATTGGAAGGGTTTGGTGAGCATTGATCTTGAGTTTGGGACTTGTAGTTCACCTACACCCAGAGAGGACTGTGGACTCAAACAATGATGGATCTGAACCAAACTTGGCACAAATACCCCAAATGCCCAAATATGAACATAGATGGAGTTTGGGGAAAATAGACCTTGACATTTGGGAGTTGTAGTTGCTGGGATTTATAGTTCACCTACAATCAAAGAGCTTTCTGAATCCCACCAACAACGGAATTGGGGCAAACAGCAACGCCTGGCAGGGGACGAGAGGCCATTAATCTAAAGAGGAAAGGCAGCCTTTTTGGCTTTGTTTTGCTTGCTTGCGCTGAACATAAAACTAACTATGGGAGGCTTCCGAAGTTTACAAAATGCAAATGAAAGAGTATTGGATAAGTTTTATTCTTAAGTTTTTGGTGCAGGCTACGCCCACATGTCGGATATGACATTGTAAATATGAATTTAACAAATTTGATCTGACTTACGACAACAAATAAAAATTTTGCACAGTCCTACTGGATAGGCAATAGATAGGTGGTGCAGCAGGTTAAACTTTTGATCTGCTGAACTTGCTGACCAAAAGGTTGGTGATTAAAATCCAGGGAGCAAGGTGAACTCTCGCTGATAGCCCCAGCTTCTGCCAACCTAGCAGTTCAAAAACATGCAAATAGGTACCACTTCTGTGGGAAGGTAATGATGCTCCATGCAGTCATGACCTTGGAAGTGTCTATGGACAACGCCAGCTCTTTGGCTTAGAAATGGAGATGAGTACCAACCCCCAGAGTCAGACACGAATTGACTTAATGTCAGGGGATAGTTATAGATTTAGGAGCTCTCTTACTACCATCTTCTATGCAACTGAAACCACTGCAAAATGGCTACAGTTACTCACTGCTTCCTGTGAGAAAGAAATGAACAAAAAGGATGGAACGAGAGGAGAGATTATATCTCTACTTCAGGTAGCCAAGTATGTTAGGACAGCCCAGCTCTGACAAGCTGCCCTCCTTCTGCTTCACAGGACTTACATGCTCCAGGAAACACGGTCCGATTTCACTGAGATGCGGGTCCTCATTGTTGTACTGCTTCTCCAAGTCCCTCACAAAGCCCATCTGGAACCGGTAGATGTCCTCAATGTTGCCAAAGATGATCTTCAACTGGTCATCGCTGAACATGTCCCGCCTCTTCCGACATTGCTTCAAGTAACCCTAGAAGAGGAGGCAAAGATGGGCTCACGCATGGAAACAAATATACTTTAGAGCACAGAACCCACATATATGTGGTAAGTACAGTGAATTGAAAACACTATTCTTTTAACCTGAAATAAGACCTCTCTAGGTTCTCCGTTGGCCACAGATCTGGGGTTCCCTAAAAAGGTATTCTTCCTAAACACCTCTAGGTCTTCCAGTGCAAGTGAAATGGCAGGGAAAAGGTTCCAAGGAAAGGAGAGGGAAAGAGAGAGTCCCAGAGGTCTGAAAAGCACGGATTTATTACCAGCTGGGACCCTGGTGAGGAGTTCTCTCCTAAAGCACCAGAGCAAATGATAGAGGCATTGACTGTGCCTTTTATAGTCTCCAATCGGAGTCAAACAAAGAAACATGCTACTACATACATTAACGTAATTCCTACGTCATCTTAGCATCATAAGAATATCAAGTTCTAACTTCCAACATGCAAAAAGGCATGTCTGTGTATTTCTAGGAGCAGCCTGCATCCATCAGTCAAGAGGCCCACTTTGAGTTGTCAGGAGGGAGGGGGGATTGGCTCCTTCCTTAGAGCCTAGTTGTACCAGCTAGGACGGGCTTATCTCCTGGAATGTAGAGATAACATGCCCCCCTTCTCCTCCCTCCTGCCATGCCTTGGATGTAGCCTGCTTGTCTTGTCAGCTTGGGTTTCTTTCTATACACAGAGAGCCTGATTTTTTTCTATGCATTTCAGTGTTTGTAAAGTACTTACAATTTTATGCATAAATCAATAAATATCTATTTTTCCAATATCTCCTCATCAAAAGTATATGGTCAACATCTGCCAAAAGTTGTTCATGGAATTGCCATGGAAGACTTAGAAATTCGTAAAGAGAACCTATTAAACAAACCCATAGATACACAAATCCGCACAAGTCAAATCTGCAACTGTATAAATAAAAGCAATACACACACACACACACAAATATTTTGCAGTGCTAATAATATAATATATTGTATATACATATAATATTGATAATAATATTGTAATACAATATAATACTATTAATAATACAATATAATAATTATATATATTACATGTAATATTACTAATAATATTGCAGTATAGTGGTATAGTACAATATTGTAATATATAATACCACAATTCTGCTATGCTAATAATATATTGTATATACATATAAGTTCTAACCAAGCTTGTACCTGCTTGTTGTTGTTGTTCATTCGTTTCGTCGTCTCCGACTCTTCGTGACCTCATGGACCAGCCCACGCCAGAGCTCCCTGTCGGCCGTCACCACCCCCAGCTCCTTCAAGGTCAGTCCAGTCACTTCAAGGATGCCAGCCATCCATCTTGCCCTTGGTCGGCCCCTCTTCCTTTTGCCTTCCACTTTCCCCAGCATAATTGTCTTCTCTAGGCTTTCCTGTCTCCTCATGATGTGGCCAAAGTACTTCAACTTTGTCTCTAGTATCCTTCCCTCCAGTGAGCAGCCGGGCTTTATTTCCTGGAGGATGGACTGGTTGGATCTTCTCCCAGTCCAAGGCACTCTCAGAACTTTCCTCCAACACCACAGCTCAAAAGCATCGATCTTCCTTTGCTCAGCCTTCCCTAAGGTCCAGCTCTCACATCCGTAGGTTACTACAGGGAATACCATGGCTTTGACTAGGCGGATCTTTGTTGCCAGTCTGATGTCTCTACTCTTTACTATTTTATCGAGACTGGACATTGCTCTCCTCCCAAGAAGTAAGCGTCTTCTGATTTCCTGGCTACAGTCTGCATCTGCAGTAATCTTTGCACCTAGAAGTACAAAGTCTGTCACGGCCTCCACGGTTTCTCCCTCTATTTTCCAGTTGTCAATCATTCTTGTTGCCATAATCTTGGTTTTTTTGACGTTTAGCTGCAACCCGGCTTTTGCGCTTTCTTCTTTCACCTTGATTAGAAGGCTCCTCAGCTCCTCTTCGCTTTCGGCCATCAAAGTGGTATCATCTGCATATCTAAGGTTGTTCATGTTTCTTCCAGCCATTTTAACCCCAGCCTTGGATTTGTCAAGCCCCACATGCACGGCGCATGATGTGTTCTGCATACAAGTTGAATAGGTTGGGTGAGAGGATACAACCCTGCTGTACGCCTTTTCCAATCTTGAACCAGTCGGTTGTTCCATGGTCAGTTCTTGCTACTTGGTCGTTATCCATATACAGAAAGGTAAGAATTTGAAACTACTAATAATAATACAATATATTACTTGTGTACTATATATTACATGTAATATCTATATAAATAAAAATGTAATGTTCGTTTGTGGGATTAACAGAACTCAAAAACCACTAGATGAATTGACACCTAATTTGGACACAAGACACCTAACAACCCAATCGTATGTCCTTCACTCAAAAAAATTGATTTTGTCATTTGGGAGTTGTAGTTGCTGGGATTTATAGTTCACCTACAATCAAAGAGCATTCTGAACCCCACCAACGATGGAATTGAACCAAACTTGGCACACAGTTCCCCCATGACCAACAGAAAATACTGAAAGGGTGTGGTGGGCAGTGTCCTTTGGTTTTGGAGTTGTAGTTCACCTACATCCAGAGAGCACTGTGGACTCCAACAATGATGAATCTGGAGCAAACTCTGCACGAATACTCAATATGCCCAAATGTGAACATTGGTGGAGTTTGGGGAAAATAGAATCTTGACATTTGGGAGTTGTAGTTGCTGGGATTTGTAGTTCACCTACAATCACAGAGCATTCTGAACCCCACCAACGACAGAATTGGCCAAACCTCCCACACTGAACCCCCATGTGGGCCACAGCAACACGTGGCAGGGGACGGCTAGTGCAATATAATATTATATATGACATGTGGTATTACTAATAATATTGCAGTATAGTGGGATAGTACAATGTAGTAATATATAATACTAATATTGTGCTATGCTAATAATATAATATACTAGCTGTCCTCTGCCACGCATTGCTGTGGCCCAGTCTGTTGATCTGGAAAATAAAGTAATGAGAAAGTGTTGATTTCTAATATATGTAATGTCTTTCTGCTTGTGGGTGAGCAGTATTTCTTGTTGTTTCTTTGTCAGTGTTGATGTGGAGAGTGTCTGGTTTGCCCACCCTGGAACATGCAACATATCATTGTCCTTCTTTAAGGGTCCCTTTCAAATGTATGATACTATTTATTTATTTATTTATTTACTTTACTTTACTTTACTTTACTTGTATACCGCAGTTTCTCAGCCCAACAGGCAACTCAACGCGGTTTACAACAAGGATAAAAATCAGACAAAGATATACAATTTAAAACCCTAATAGCATGGTATACAATATTAATATAACAATAAACAACACAATACATCTCATAACTAGAGTCGTGATCCAGTTCGTCGTCCGTTTTTCCATTCCTGTATCATAACATTCATTGCACTGTTGGTCCGAATGCCCGCTCAAACATCCAAGTTTTTAATCTTCTTCGAAACACCATTAGTGAGGGGGCTGATCTAACCTCCATGGGAAGGGCGTTCCACAGCCGGGGGGCCACCACAGAAAAGGCCCTGTCTCTCGTCCCCGCCAGCCGCACCTGTGAAGCAGGCGGGATGGAGAGCAGGGCCTCCCCAGAAGATCTTAGGGTCCTGGCGGGCTGATAGGCAGAGATACATTCGGATAGGTAGCTTGGGCCAGAACCGTTTAGGGCTTTATAGGCCAACGCCAGCACTTTGAATTGGGCTCGGTAGCAAATCGGCAGCCAATGGAGCTGGTGCAGCAAAGGAGTTGTATGCTCCCTGCGCTCCGCTCCTGTTAGTATCATGGCTGCCGATCGTTGGACTAATTGGAGCTTCCGAGCCGTCTTCAAAGGCAACCCCACGTAGAGAGCGTTGCAGTAGTCTAAACGGGATGTAACCAGAGCGTGGACTACCGTGGCCAAGTCAGACTTCCCAAGGTACGGGCGCAGTTGGCGCACGAGTTTTAACTGTGCGAATGCTCCCCTGGTCACCGCCAAAACCTGGGGTTCCAGGCTCAGCGATGAGTCCAGGATCACACCCAAACTGCGAACCTGCGTCTTCAGGGGGAGTGCGACCCCGTCTAACACAGGCTGTAACCCTATACCCTGTACTATATCTGTGTGTGTGAATCACATCTATCTATCTATCTATCTATCTATCTATCTATCTATCTATCTATCTATCTATCTATCTGGCTGGATGGCTCTTTAATTACATTTTCTTGCCCTGGTGAAGGGAGTTGGATTGGATGGCCTTAAGTATTTTCTGTTGGTCAAGGGGGTTCTGTGTGGGAAGTTTGCCCCGATTCTGTCATTCGTGTGTTCAGAATGCTCTTTGATTGTAGGTGAACTGTGAATCCCAGTGACTACAACTTCCAAATGTCAAGGTCTATTTTCCCCAAACTCCAACGGTGTTCATATTTGGGCATATTGAGTGCTTGTGCCAAGTTTGGTCCAGATCCATCACTGTTTGAGTCCACAGTGATCTCTGGACGTAGGTGAACTACAACTGCCAAACTCAATGTCAATGCCCACCAAAACCCTTCCTGTATTTTCTGTTGGTCATGGGAGTTCTCTGTTCCAAGTTTGGCTCAATTCCATTATTGATGGAGTTCAGAATGCTCTTTGATTGTAGGTGAACTATAAATCCCAGCAACTACAACTCCCAAATGACAAAATCATAATTTTTTGAGTGATGGTCACTTCTTGTGTTGTGAGACTTTTGTTGCCAAATTTGGTGTGATTTCGTTCATTGGTTCTTTTGTTTTTAAGGTACTCATTATGCACAGAGCATTTTATATATATATAGATTGTATGTACATATAATATTGATCATAATATTGTAATACAATATAATACAAAATGTGCTGCAGGATGTCTTTCCGCAGAAACAAAGTTTTTGCAGTTTAATAAACTTTTCCCATGTTTTTTTTTAAATGATAGAACCAATTAGGAAATAACGACATTTCTAACCCAGGAATAAAAGTCTTGCCAGACAT